TTTTTGTGCTGCTTGCGATTGAACCCAGGGCTTTGTGCATGCAAGGCAAGAGCTCTACCACTGAGCCACATCCCCAACCCCATGTATTTTTCTTTCAATTTTTAATTTTATTAGTACCTTTGCAGTTCATAATGATTACATTCCTTGTGGGGAGTTGGTCTGTGTACATAACACAACTTCACTCTTCTTAGTCTCTTCCCCCGCTTCCTCCCTCACCCTCCATGTCTTGGTCCCCTTGCCTATTTGCGAAAGATCTGTTTCTTATTACCTATCTTTTCTTTTCCCTCTTTAATTATTTAGGCTTTGAATTTCTCTTATAAGAAAAGCCATCAATATTTGAGCTTGTATGTCTGATTTATTTTGTTTAACATTATTGCGTCCAGGTGCACCCTTTTCCTACAAGTTACCCAAATTTATCCTTCCGTATGGCAGAGTAGCGCTCCACTGCGTGTAACCACCATATTTTCTTTAGCCATTCACCTGTTGATGGCCATCTAGGCAGCTTCCAGGACTGAGCTAGTATGAGCTGTGCTGCTATGAACATGGGTGTCGGGGCGTGCTCTGAAAGGCTGCTCAGCCCCTTGCAGGTGCAGCCCAGACACAGAAGTTGACAGCTGAGGGAAACTTTGGGCCAGTGTCAGACAGGAGTCTCTGGATAGACACCCTACCTTCCCCTTCCCGAGGCAGGGCAATTCTGGGGCATGTTCTACATTGGATCCCAGATGTTCCCGGTGGAAATGAACCCCAGTTACCTACAATGATTACCTACCCATCAAAACACCACCTTTTGGCTTTTCTGTCTTCCTATCTCACTGTCCCCTCTCCGCCACTTGTGCCTCATGGAATCACCTCCCAAATAAATGACCTGCACCCAAATCCTTGTCTCAGGCTCTGCTTGGGGAACCCACACTAAGACTAATGCCTCTTTCCAAGGTTTATCATGAAGGTTAGATGAGGTAATATAGCGAGAGAGCTTAGTTCCGCTGGGTACATAGTAGATGCTCAAAAAGTTAGCTGCAGTTATTGTTGTTGTTAGTACCATTTCAATCTGCTGTCAAGAGCCAGCTATTCTACTCTGAGATGCTATGAATGCAAATGCAAAAATGCTGTGAAAACATAATAGCACCCTCAGGAAGATGCCTGCTGCACTAAGTGAGCACCTCACCTCCACATGCCCTCCCTCTGCCTGCAGGCCTAGGAATTGAAGATATTAGATAGAACTTCCCAGAGTACACCTGGAGTCATCTTCCTCCCCTTTGATTCCTGGGCCACCATGGTGTGCTATTCATGCCCATGGGAAAACAACCGCTTCAAGTATGCCATTGCATCTGGTGTGCAGCCCAGGTTTTCTATATAGTAATCCAGTACTTTGAAGTTACAAGTAAATTTTTTAAAAAGGAAGAAATACCAAAAAAAACCACTTTAACACAAACATTTCTTTCTTTTCCTTTTTTCATGTTTGTTTGTTTGTTTTGAGACAGGGTCTCACAATTAGTGCAGTCTGGTCTTGAACTCACATAGACTCTCCTGCCTCAGCCTGCCAAGTGCTGGGATTACAGGCATGTGCTAGCATGCCTGGCATTTGTTTGTTTGTTTGTTTGTTTGTTTGTTTTGCACAAACATTTCTTATACCAAGAAAACTCTTTTTCCTTGAGCATACTACTTTAAGTATATTTGGGAGTAAAGCAAAATTTTCTTTATTCCTTGAGACCCCAAATTTACTGTTCTATTTGGCATCTGTAAACAGCATTTTGTTATTTATCTGTTCTGCAGCTGAATTATTCCATTAGTCTCTCCCTAGAATCTTTATTTAAAGGAGAGAATTTTCTTTGGGTCATTCACTATATTGTCCAGCCCTTTTCATTTTCCTTTAATTCTTTGTGAAGTAAATAACCATATGTCTGTTCAAAATCAATTTTAACAAACCTATTATTAAAAGACGCTAAAAAGTCTGTCCTTATGTTTGTAAAAAAATGTTATTAAAAACAAAAATAAGAGAATCACTTCCAATTAACATTCAGCATTATAAAACATTATGTCATAAAATAGATTCAGATGCCCATGAATTGCTATTATATGATATAAAACATTGATGTTGCAATGTTTTTTTGGCAATGTTGGGGTTAAAACCCAGGGCCTTGCACATGCTAAAGAAATACTTGGCCACTGAGCTGCACCCTACCCCTCAATGTATGGCCTTTATCATGAGCTTGTTGCTTTGAGAACTCAGACTCTACAATGTAGTAATGAAGAGGTGGTAGATTGTCCTTACAAACAACCTGTACCCAAGGGAAGATGCACCTTCAGTGTAGGTTTGTCTATTTTTAACTATTCGAGGATATGTGAGTCTTAATAATACAACACTAGACACTTTGATCTTGATTTGACAGCAGCTATACTTCATTCTAAGAAATGAAAAACTTAGATAAAATCCAATTAGTGGAGTAATACTAGATTTAGAAAAAGGAAACTATGTCATTGAGCTACCAGGAGCAGTTTTTGGGATCAGAGAACTTTAGCTTGACTCTCGCCTGTGGACTGAAAATAAATTATTTATCCTTCCAGTGCCTCAGTTTCTTTATCTGCAAAATAGGGATAATAGAATCTAGCTATTCATATTATTTTGATGATGAAATGAAATGATTCATACAGAATGAGCAAATGTTCATCTAAAGGGCTTATCTCCAGCCCAAATATATTAAATGCTCCATAAGCATGCACTAGTATTAGGAATGATGATGGCAAAGGTTTTTTGTTTTTTTTTGTTTTTGTTTTTGTTTTTCTCCGGTACCAGGAACCGAACTC